CCCCCGCCTTGGCTACCCGTAGACAAAGCTTTCGGAGCAGCCCGGGCTTGGGCTCCGCTCCAAGGGCTCGAACCGCCCGCTTTCCAGAAGGAGAAAACCGCTGCCAAGTGGCTTTTTTTTTTTTGTCAAGTAAAATCCGGCGGTGGACGATGAGTCTCGGTTCCCCTTTCTTCTGGAAACATCTCATAGCCACCCGACAGCCCCGGGTGGGATCAAACACCGCGGGTTTCTTTGCTGCCCTGTGGGTTTTGTAATCCCGAGCCCGTGTCCCCAGTGTGCCTGATCGTGGCTACAAGTAGCCTCGGAGCGGTAGGGGTTTGGGTGGGATAAAACTCCTGAGGTAAGTGAAGTCGTTGGTATCTCGCCCTGGAAAACGAGTGGTGGTGGAATACGGCTGAGTCAGTCGGTGAATGCTGCCCAGCTCCTTCCCTAGTTATTTTTGGGTGCCCTTAGAATGTGAGGAACTAAGCATGGGTGTGATCTCAAGAGGATGCTGGAAAGGTGCTTTTTTTTTTCTTCCTTCTCAGTCCCTTGTGGTTTTTCTGCGAGGAAAGTAATAGCTTTTTTAATACTTGTTTTGATGAATGCCAGGAAGTTGCATTTCACCCTTTCAGATGGGAAGCATTGTTTTGTGTCTGTGGCAGCATGAAACAGTAACTTTGTACCCGAGTGCTTCCCCAGGGACATGGCGCTCATGTAAATAATCGGCAAAAATAAAGGCTCTACTGCTTTTTTGGGTCCCGCAGAGTAGGAAGTGTCTCAACATCTTGAGGCGTGAAATTTGCGAGAGAACAATGTTCACTCTGCGTCTTTTTTGAATACAGAATTAAGGAGGATAATCTTTTTTATTTTTATTTTATAGAACATTATAAACACCACTGGTTCCCAGAAAAGCCATGCAAGGGATCAGGTTACCGATGTATCCGGATCAACCATAAAATGGATCCTCTCATTGGACAGGCAGCACAGCGGATTGGATTGAGCAGTCAGGAACTGTTCCAGCTTCTTCCAAGCGAACTCACTCTATGGGTTGACCCGTATGAAGTGTCCTATCGTATCGGAGAGGATGGCTCAATCTGTGTGCTGTATGAAGCTGCACCAGCAGGAGGTAGCCAAAATAACACCAACATGCAAATGGTAGACAGCAGAATAAGCTGTAAGGAGGAACTTCTCTTGGGCAGAACTAGCCCTTCCAAAAGCTACAATATGATGACTGTATCAGGTTAAGATATAGTCTGTGGATGGATCACCTTAAAATGGATGGATAAATTTGGTTTTTACTTTGGGTGGGCGCCTCTGGGGATGGATTATGGAATTTAAACCATGTCACAGCTGTGAAGATCTGGCACACGTTAGAGTGGTATACTTTAAAGTGACAGTGCCATAGTTTGGACAGTACCTTTCAGTGATTTAATAGCCTGTGAGTCAAAATGATTGCAACTTGCTAGGGAGTGAAGAAGATCTAGGAAGGGTCAGTTTCTCCAAGACATCTTACTTAATTTCTACACCAATTTTCAACCCCAATCTGTATTTATAAAGTGATTCTCTGCAGTAGGTCTTGCAGAGTAAATTTGCACTATTACATTTATTAATTGTTAGCATTTTTGGCAGCTCAGTAACAAGACTTACTGTTATGAACACGATAGTACTGGAAATTTTATTTTTCAGACTTTTACCTAGCACTTACAAATATGTATAAATGTACATAAGATAAACTAGTAAGTATGACCTGGGGAAATGGTCAGATCTTTACATTGGCCTCAAAAGTAGCAAGTGATCAGAATCTGCCATGGCAACAGGCTTTAAAAAGACCGTATAAAGACACTGTCTGAACTGTGGTGTTAGCACCAGCCAGCTATCTGTACATTTGCTAGCTTGTAGTTTTCTAAGACTGAGTAAACTTCTTATTTTTAGAAAGTGGAGGTCTGGTTTGTAATTTCCTTGTTCTTAATTGGGTAAAAGTCTTTTCCACAAACCGCCATCTATTTTGTGAACTTTGTTAGTCATCTTTTATTTGGTAAATTATGAACTGGTGTAAATTTGTACAGTTCATGTATATTGATTGTGGCAAAGTTGTACAGATTTCTATATTTTGGATGAGAAATTTTTCTTCTCTCTATAATAAATTGTTTCCTATCTTGGCATTTTAATTAATCTCTTGTCGTGATTACATAGGATCAGTTAAACTATTTTTGCCTCACAGCAGAAATGAAATAGGTACTATAAAAGCTTAAAAACATCAATGGCACCCTGATGCTAGGGATCGCTCGGTGCAGACTTGGATTAATGAAGACCTCGTATATAAATGCGTGGGAAGTTCAGGGAAACACAATGATGTACATGTCACTTTAAACCTTTTAAAATCAGTCAATGTGGAAATAACTCCAGGGCCAATAATTCCAGGATATGAGGAAAAGGTACAGAAATAACATCCACCAAAGATGACTTGAATAAATCCAGAGGATTAAAGTTTACTTGGCTTCCTGATGAAGGATATAGCAAACCTAAATGTCCATTTTGACCTACTTGCTCACAAGTTCTCAGTTCTTCCCTGATGGATTCCCTGCTCAATAAGAGTTTCTGGGACAAGCGTCCCTTAGCCTTAAGAGCAGGTTAACCACTCTACAGAAAGGTTGCTCGCCTTTTGCTTTCTTCAGATGCAAGACTTTCACTTTAGAAATCATTAAGATGGGATTCAACAAAAGGTATGTAGATCTTTTTTCCCAAACTTAAAAGGTTGGTTGAGGCGAAGTGAGAAGCCCATACTTACATGTGTGTTCAAAGTTAATGAATGATGTGGAGATGTGATTCACTTAAGCACCACACTAATGTCATTTGTATACAGCACAGTGGTTAGTTACACTGGAGAAAAGTTCCTTGCTACTTTATTTACACTCGTTAAAGTGCTGGAGTAAAACTCAAGAACTTTCTGTTCCTTATCTCCTGTGTACTTTGTTCTGTGAGTGTTTTTATTAAACATGGTTATTAAGGCCTACCCAACTTGGTCACTTCAGCTGTGAGAACTGTTGCTCTGAAGAAAAAGAAAGCAATGGTGACTTGCCAGCTAAACTTGCTAGCGATGGGTAGAACTGAGCTTCAGACTTGGTGTGCATTGCAGCAGCTCCTGCTCAACTGTGAGCCTTTACAATGGGGCGATAGTGATGTGTGGCATCTCGAGTTCTAATCTTTGTCTTCTGATCTGTAGTGTAACTAATTATATATACAAGCAAAACATAAGACTGAACCATCTATAGCTTTTTTTTTTACCCATTTCTTTCCCACAGTTTTTGAAAGTTCAGCTTTACAGATATTATTTTTTACCATGATTGGCATATGTATGCCAACATTCAGCACTAAAGCATTGCTAGGGCTTCTGCAGTGCTATGGCTTTCTGGCATAGACTGGTGGAAGCCTAAGTGCTGCTGAAGCCGTGAACTTTAAAGACTTGACTTGGTATCTGGATCTGGCAATAACAAATCTATTGCCAAGGCTTCAGAATGAGCTTGCTGTAAAGTCCATTTATTACTTGTGCATAAAAGTAAAAATTTAGGTCCACATCTTGGTACCTTAATCATTCTACTACTTTTTAAGATGATGCTTTCAGGTTGTTACTTCTGTAAGCAAGAGATTTATTCAAGCAACAGGAGTACTCAAAGACGTTGCTGTTGCGTTACATGTCCGCAGACAGCATAAGTCTATCCAAATAGAAAGAAAAACATTGAGCGTGGCTTCCTGTAAAGCTATATTAAACTTTCATGAAGCTGGCTGCTGACTGAGCTGTGGTTGGTATATCGTGGTGCCGCCCGGAGTCTTCCCTGCTGCACAGTGAGAACAGCAGCAGAAAGGGTAGCTGTATAGTTGGTCTTTGACAAGAACTATGCCAATTATGAAGGCGGCAGCTGTCAATACTTTCTTTTTGATAAGTTAAGCGTAGCTTTGTGAGGCAGCAAGCATTCCACCGGCGAGGCTGGCATGTCACAGTGAACCAAGAATGAGCGTGCTCCCTTAGATGGTTAACGTTTTAGTCCTTTTATGGTAGGCTGCTTTCATTCATGGCATAATTTTTAACTGCAGCTGTAACTGGTAATTGGTACAACCTGTGTCCTCGGAGTTGTTGGGATTTCTTCCAGCTGGAATTTAAATATACCCCAATGTGCGCACAATGTGCCCTTGTCTGATTTTGAAAGTACTTAGCGTACTGTGGCAGCGGGGCATAGGAAGGACTCCTGAGAGAAATGGAGTATGTCTGGAAGAGGAGGCTGTTGCCAATCCCATGTTCTGGTGCAGGCAGAACAAACAGTGCACTAAGCTAAATGCTCATCACTTTTGAATTGCATTTTAAGGTGCCATTAGGAAACCAAGGCTCTTATTTTAACGCAAATAGAAGAGATGAGAGGGCACATTCAAGACCTGCTTGCCCAGTGCACATTAGTTAAATTAGCTGGACTTTCCTTGTGAAGCACTGAATAATCCTGTTGTTCTGTTGGCATTGAGGGCAGGCTCAGCTGTATGCAGCTTTAATGTTACAGCTCTTCTTAAACTGACAGACCAGTCTGCTAAGACTTGTTGACAATTTGGTGAATGTCTTTACAAAGTGTACAATTGTCTTCTAGTTTATGCCAGGTGAGCAAATGTTTCTTTTTCTCACAGCACATTCACCCATTGTGCTATGTGTGGTATCAGATCCTATGCACTCGAGTTTATTTTTGTATTTCATGTTTGGTAATGATCCTCCTATAGAGAGTTGTATTATATGTATCCTGTAAGAATCTCTGCTCTTCTGTTCTCTTTGCAGTTGGGTTGGGTTTTTTTCCTGCTTTTTCTGGAGATGTACATCTGGCTTAAGCAGTCATTCGGACCATGATCTTTTTCCTCCTGTAGATCTTAGGGTCATTCTTCGGTCTGAAAGGAGATGTGAGGGCTTTCATTCAATTACTAATAATGCTGATTTTAGTTTTCTGCTCTTCTGCTGACTCTGCAAAGAATTTCTGCTAGATCTGTATGACAGGCCTCATCGTGCCACGTGATTTTATTATTGGTTTGTTCTATCAATCTACATGAGAATTTGGAAATAACCTACGTGAGGCACTCTTCTGATGTGAAAATACCATCACCAGCTTCTACTTCTGTGGTATCTTGTATTGAATCAGTTCATAGGATAAAAAAGTCTCTCCTATTCATCACTAAAAAGAGTGATCTTGGATCAGAAGATCAAATTATGTCTCATGTCGTAGCTAGTGATGACGATTCTGAAGGCTAAACATTGTTAAGCCTGTATGCTCTGGACCGCCTTCAGTTTGAATGGATAAAAGAGCAGCTTGAGAGATGTAAAAGGAGGGGGAACTGTACTGCAGCAGCAGGACCTTAAAAAACAGTTTACTGATGTGCAAACCATAAAGAATCCAGTTAATGCTCCTGGAGTGGTTGGTTTGTGCTGATACTTGTAAACATTTCTGTCACCAAATTAAGCAGATGTCACTGAACATGAGCACTAAATCCGCATAAGGTGTCCTTCTAATTAACCTTGCTTACTTATGCTGGGAGAATATGATCTCTTGTTACTGTGTAGGTTAGCAATGAATAAGATGAAGAACATTGCTGCTTTTCTTTTTTGTGTATCTATGTAAAGCTTATTTCTGAATTTCCATAAATCAAGTAGCACTCTACATTTTCCAAAGTTTCCTCTACTTGATGCCATCATTTTTAGGGAAAATAGTTTATATTGGCAAAAGCTGCCACTTGACTGAAGAACGTTAAAGCTGTTTTTAGTTTAAAGAGTGAAACATGTATAGACTGGAGATAAATAGCTCTCCTAAAAAGGAATGTATATTTACACATTCTTGGTGTAATAGCAGAGGTTATTTTTACATGTTTCAGATTTACATTCCAGTGTGGCATAAAGTGAACATTGTGAAGCAGGATGTTAATTCAGTGGCTTTCAAGGGGTTGCTAGAGCAAGCTGGGCTTAGACAGTAAATGCTGTATTAATGGTTAGCCGTGACAATTTCATCAACACAGGAATTGCAGGGTATAATTAACATCAGTTGCTTTGACACTATGCTCTTAATGTATGGTTTCAACCTTTCTTTCAGTAGCAGTTGGAGAATGCACTGTGACAAATTATTGCTGATACAAAGTAGGTCAACAGTAAAATGGCTGACTTACCATAAATGAACAGCTCTAAATTATTGTAACTTAATGTCCAGTGGAATTTTCTTAGGGGCTAAGTCTTTTGTGCCCTTGTGTTTCTCAAGCAGGAACCTTGAATCCAGCTTTGCCCAACTCCTTATTTCCTTACCGTTTGATATTTTTTGTCTAAACAAGAAGGACGTTTCCCCCCAGCTGCTGGGAAGAAATCCACACGAGCAGTAACGCTGCGTGCGTGACAGCAGATACGTGCCCTCGTAGTACTGCAGTTCTGTGACCGCAAAGCTGGCAAGGAGGAACGACGGGCAACTGAGGAAAACAAAATGCCGCATCTTCAGGTTTTGAGGTTTCCTCCACTGAAAGCGACCCCATGACAACATGCGAGGAAGGGAAATAGGACTGAGACGATACTGGATGAGAAAAATCCCAGGCTGAGGGAACATCAAGTGTGTTTTTGCAGAGGGAAGTGTTTTTACCTTGTGATTCCTCTGATCAGCCGCTCAGTGGCTCATCACATTGCTCCCAACAACCGTTTAAAGTTTTCCTGAGAGGTGTAGCTTTATATGATGCTCTTCCCTCCTGGATGTCCAGAAACGGCCTCTAGCTTCGCAGTTTCTCTGGGGCGTTGTAAAATCCAGCCTGATTGTTTTATGTCCTGATTATATAACTGAATAAAATTATAAACAGATGAATCTGTTAGCACTGTAAGGACACGAGGGAGGAGAACTTAACGTTCTTGGAGCAGCCTCGAATACATGCAAGGAGCAGCAGCAGTGTCTGAAATGCCCAAGGACAGGGGCAGGGCTGGGGATGCTGACCAGCTTTCACAGTTGGGTGCCAAACAATAACGCTTACCTAAAGGGCTGTAACGTGGAGCTAAGGCTTGGGTACAGCTTCGAACTCCAAGATCAGCTTAAAGACAGATTTCTACTACTGGTAGTGTCATCTGCTGACATTGGCTGCAATTAAGAAATTCCGACAGCGAGCCCTTGCTGTTCTGTGT